CACCAAGGAATAAAATTCTTAACTAATGCGGCCTTGAAGGGGCAAAATGCTCCCTATTTACATGGCCACAACTCCCCAGATGTAAATACTAGCCATAAAACAAACAAACCAACCTACTGAGGGAGGGAGTCCTATCCCTTACATTAAGGAATTACACCCAAGAGGCAGCTTTCTCCCAGAGGAATGGAGGAGACTCTCCCCGTCAGGACCAGTCATTCCTTACACTACAACCCCGAGGCTGGTTATTCCCTAAGAGACCTGCAGAGACCCCAGGTCTCCAACAGTGAAATGGGAACCAAACAACCCTCCATTCCCATCCACAACCAGTGCTGGGGAGTCATGCACTCTGGATGAGGCCATGCAACTCCCTCAGACTCTCCTCACCCGTGGAAAAGCCTGGAAAAGAGATGTGTGATGCTTCCCTTCACTCCAAATGAACTGTCTTGCCTTGTTTTAAAAGAGGGGCTAGAAACCCCCACGAGAAAGAAACAAGGAATACCACTGGCAGCCTTGCCACAGCCTGGCACAGCATCCCATCCCAGCATTCCAGGGCAGAGCAGCCAGCTGGGAAGAAGGAATGCAATGTCTCTGGCACCACGTGGTGGAGCCCCACGCCTTCCTCTAGGATTCAACGAGCAAAAGTTTACATCTCACCTGGATATCCTGCAGAATCATTGCTTTCAGGGCTCTGGAAAATAGAAAAGATGGACTCCATTGTTGGCTCCATCTGGAAGAGGAGAGGAGACGCGGAGTGTGAAACCTTTTCCAGGCTGATGGGAGAAGAGGGAGGGGGCAGACAGCGTTTCAACACGTTCTGGCAGTGCCCAGCCTCAAAGGGGCAAACCAGAACATGGGAAATGAACACCTCTGGGCAGAGAGGGAAGGGAGCTCTCGGGAAAGACCTGGAGTTTGGTGAGCTGCAAATTTAATCCAGCGACCAGTGTGATAAAAAGCACCTTTTTCCACCTTCAGTATCCCTAGGAAAGACCATCCAACTCACCTCTCAGTCTCCACACCGCCCCGCACCCTTTATCCGCCGGGAGCGGCTCCTTCCCGCCGGGGCCGCTCCGCCCCCTCCCCATCCCAGGGGGCTCCGGGACCCGCTCCCGGCGGTGCCGGCCCATCCCTGCCCTCTCAAGGGGGCTGTTCCAGGGCCTTGGCTCTCGCTGGGCCTGCTGCTGGTTGTGCCCAGTGCCGGCGGCTCTTCCCGGCAATCCCAGCGCTCCCGCCCGGCCTGTGTGTCCCCCCCGGCCCGCGGGGAACGGGAGCACTGCCTGGGAATACGGCGGGAGCTTTTCCTTGGCTGCCCTGCGTGGTGCCCTCCCGTGACTTCGTGGTTCCATCCCCGCGGCTCTGTCCACGTTCCTCCCTGGGTTCACCCGCACGGAGCGAATACGGAGCTCCGTGTCCCTGTTGGGGACGGGCAGTGTTCTGCAGAAGTGCTGGATTGTCTCCACGGGCTTTCGTGCCTGCTGGGTGCAGCTTGGCAAGTGGAATCACAGGGCGGGTCAGGCTGGAAGGGACCACAGTGGGTCATCTGGTCCCACCTCCCTGCTCCAGCAGGGTCATCCTGGAGCACATGGCACAGGGTTGTGTCCAGATGGTTCTGGAATATCTCCAGGGAGGGAGACTCCACACCCTCTCTGGGCAATCTGTTCAGTGCTCGGTCACGGCACAGCAAAGTTCTTCCTCAGGTGGAACTTCTGGGCATCAGTTCCTGCCCGTGGCCTCTTGTCCCACTGCTGGGCACCCCCGAGCAGAGCCTGGTCCATCCTCTATCCCCTCCCTGCGCACACTGACACACATGGATGAGGTCCCTTCTCCAGGCTGAACAGCCCCAGCTCCCTCAGCCTTTCCTCCCCAGGGAGATGCTCCAGTCCCTGAATCATCTCTGCAGCCTCCACCGGACCCGCTCCAGGAGCTCCATGTCTCCATGTGTAAGAAAGGAAGGACAGCAAAGAGGAAGACCTGCCTTGTGGTAACAGAGAGAGAACATGCAGCAGCCACTGCTGCAGTGACAGGACCTGAAGCTCGAGAGCTCAGAAAGGACCGAGAGGCCCTTGGACATGGTGGTCATTCTTCCACATGGAGTTTCAGGAACTACCACCCAGCAGTGCCTCTCCCAAGCCACTGGGCTCCCTGGGCGGCTGCAGGAGCTATGGGTGAGATTCAACAGTTTACAAAATCATGACACTGCAAATTTATGTGGGTTAAATAAATAATTAAACTCATGTTACAGAACTCCTTGTGTGTATATGTAGTGTATCCTTGCTAACAAAAAAAAAAGGGTTATTTCATGAAAAGATTATTCTTATTTTAAGCTTTCTGAATCTTCAGCAAACAATGAGAATCAATCTCTCCTTCAGAGAGGAAAGCCCTTTAAAGGTATGCCTACAAAATATGATTAACATTGCTTACTTAATTCAAATTTGCTCACTTGGTGATTTAGACTATGATTAAAATTCTTATAAATTATTTTGGTGTTAATTAAACTACTGTAAATTATTCACAACAAGCCATCCCCCAGCCTTTTATTGCTGTTATCCTGATGACGCTCACCTCTGTGAGTATTATATTTCAAAGATTTAGCGATGTGTCCCTGGCCATCTTCCCAGCTTTTCCTTACCCAGGGAGTGACTGGATTCATTTCCATTTCCTTCAGCTGTGCCAGTCCGTGGAAGTATGTATTCTGAGCAACAGAAATAACACATTCCCAAAGAGCTACAGGTCCTTTTTTGTTTTTCATATGCATTCCCTTTGTGCCTCCACCCTCTGTGAGGTCAAGGTTGTCCTGTCATGGGATCAGCATCTTCTTTTGCATGTAAATATTAACCTAATCTTTCTCTGTACTCCTTACAGCTGCCTTACTGACAATTTTATCCCAGGTTCCATCTTCCCTACCTGTGATTATTTCCCAGGTCTCCAGATGGCAGAGAACAGGCTGAACACAATTGCTACCACATTTTCCCCATTTACCAGTTGCTCCTTAAGATTGATTTTCGAAGAGTTTAAGCTGAGCTTTCTCACAGCCCCTATGAAGGACTTCAGCAAAGGCTTTCTCCTCTTCCAGCTGACTATACCGGGAATGCTGTGGGTATGGAGTTCACTGGTCCTTCCTCTTGTTTTTCCATCTTGTAGGACACATCTTCTTAATTTGCAGAACTTAATTTCTCTCCTGCAGTGGCTAATTCTCCGAGGTCAACACTTACCTCAACAAAGCAGCATTTGGGTAAAAATTCTGACAGAGCCATTTAAAAAGGGCTGGGAATAAATCAGAAGACAATTCTGCAGGGATGGTGGGGACAACAGAACTGTTTTCCCACCATATCAGGTCAGACAGAAAAGTTTTAAGTTTGTTCAGGGACCCCAAAGCACAAAAAAGACTTTTGTTTCTTCGGCTTTGAATAACTGTGAAAAACATAACCATTCAACTTTGATTATTTAAAAATTATAGTAAATTTTTAATGAATATTCAGGCCAGGATTTAAGCATACAGACACAAGTGCCAGTTCAGGTTCAGCAAACCTTTGTATCCCAAGCTAAAAATAGGTGTGTCCCATTCTCTTGGTTGACTCATACTCTCAAATGATGTGACTCAGCTGTATGAAAGTCTCATGAAAGTTTATGTTTCTTTCTTACCTTTTGGTAAGTCTAAATTTTTAATTTTTTTTTTTTTTTTTTTTTGCCATGTGCTCTGAGTTTCATCAAAACAGCCACCATTCCTCATTTATAGAGCAGTTTGGGAACATGTCAGGTGTTGAAGTTTGGGGATTGCAGAATGGTTTGGGTTGGAGGGGACCTTCAAAGATCATCTAGTCCTGCCAGAGACAGTGACACCTTCCACTACTATGTGACCAGTGTTGGAATGGCACCTGGTCAGCCACCTGCTCCAGCCTCTCCTTGTTCCTCCCCAGTCCTGAATGGGGCATGGCACAGGGCAGGGCCCACACCCTGGGGCGGTAGGGACAGAGGGATCTGGACAGGCTGGATCGATGGGCTGAGGCCAGTGGTATGAAGTTCAACAAGGCCAAGTGTTGGGTCCTGCACTTCAGCCACAACAACCCCCTGCAGCTCCAGGCTGGGGCAGAGGGGCTGGAAAGTGCCCAGTGGGAAAGGCCCTGGGGGTGTTGGTGACAGCAGCTGGACATGAGCCCAGGTGTGCCCAGGGGGGCAAGAGGCCAATGGCACCTGGCTTGGATCAGCAATAGTGTGGCAGCAGGACCAGGGCAGGGATTGTCCCCCTGTGCTGGGCACTGGTGAGGCCACACCTCAAATCCTGGGTCCAGTTCTGGGCCCCTCACTGCTGGAAGGACATTGAGGGGCTGGAAGTGTCCAGAGAAGGGAACAGAGCTGGGGAAGGGTCTGGAGCACAGGTCTGAGGAGGAGCTGGTCAGAGAGCTGGGGGTGTTCAGCCTGGAGAGGAGGCTCGGGAGGGACCTTATCACCCTCTAAAACTACCTGAAAGGAGGTTGTAGCCAGGTAGGGGTCGGGCACTTCTCACAGGCAGCCACAGACAGGACGAGAGGAAAGGGCTTCAAGCTGCACCAGGGGAGGTTCAGGTTGGACATCAGGAGGAATTTCTTCACAGAAGGGGTGGTCAGGCATTGGAAGGGGCTGCCCTGGGAGGTGGTGGAGTCACTGGCTGACAAGGTGGTGACCGGTTACAGGTTGCACTCGCTGATCTCAGAGGTCTTTTCCAACCTGACTGATTCCGTGATTCCATGACCGTAACTGTGTGACAGCGCCCCGGGCGGGGCCGGGACGGGGGGCCGGGGTCGGAAGGGTTACACCGGGAGCCGCTGGAAGCGCCGGCGGGGCGGGACCGCGCGGGGCCATCTCCACTCCCTGCTCCCGGAGCCCCCCGGTCGGGCTTAGCCCAGCCCGGCCCAGCTGGGTCCCAACCCGGCCCAGACCAGCTTTCCCGGGCTGTGTGGTCCCGCCGGGCCGGGGCCGGGCTGCGTAGCGGGATTCCCGATGGAGGGGGCGGGTCGGGAGGGCCGGCCGGGCGTGCGCCGCCGATCCGCAGCATTCCCGCCCCGTCTCCTCCTGCCCGGCTCGGCCCGGCCCCTCGGGAGCGTGTGGGTGACACTGAGGGAGGATGGAGCCGGTCCCGACGCCGCCTCCAGTGCCCTGGAGCCGGGATGGGCCGGGTGGGAGGACGCAGCACTTGGCGGGGCCGTGGAGAGGAGCGGGAGCGGACCCTGAGCGAACGTGTCAGTGTGTCTGGAGCATCCTTGTGTCCCGGCAGGTGATGGGAGCATGAGTGGCAGTGAGGGGGATCTCCAGCGGGATGGGCTGGAGGCAGCCCAGCCCTGTGGGGACTTTTTCAAGAGGGCAACTTCTCCTCCGGGCTGTGACGGGGACGTGTCCCTTCTCCCAGACACCGGGATGGAGAAGGCTTCTCGCCGCAGTTTCCAGAGGCGCAAGGATGCTGTGGTGCAGCATCGGGCGCTCCTGGGGGAGAAGACCTACATCTCCATCGAGTGCGGGCAGAGCTTCGGCCGCAGCTCCGACCTGACCCGCCACCAGCGCATCCACAGCGGGGAGAGGCCGCACGTGTGTCCCGACTGCGGCAGGAGCTTCGGCCGCCGCTCCCACCTCATCCAGCACCGGCGCGTCCACCCGGGCGAGCGGCCGTACCCGTGCCGGCACTGCGGGAAGAGCTTCAGGCAGAGCGCCCAGCTGGTCCAGCACCAGCGCAGCCACACCGGCGAGAGGCCTCACGTCTGTGCCAAGTGCGGCAGGAACTTCTACCAGAGCTCGGGGCTGCTCCGCCACGCCAGCTCCCACTCTGGAGAGAAGCCCCAGAGGTGCCCCCAGTGCGGGAAGGGCTTTGGCGACAGCTCCAACCTCACCGCCCACCAGCGGCTCCTACACACGGGAGAGAAGCCCTACAGGTGTGACAACTGCAGCAAGTGCTTCAGGGAGAGCTCCAAGCTGCTCATCCACAGGCGTGCCCACACCGGGGAGAAGCCCTACCTGTGCCCGGACTGTGGGAAGGGTTTCAGCCAGCGCTTGCACCTTGTCCAGCACCATCACACCCACACTGGGGAGAAGCCCTACAAGTGTGCGGAGTGTGGGACCGGCTTCGGTGACAACTCCACCCTCATCCGTCATCGTTGGACCCACAGTGGGGAGAAACCCTTCCAGTGCTCCCACTGTGACAAGAGCTTCACTCGCCACTACTACCTGCTCTCCCACCAGCAGGGGCACACGTGGTAGGCAGCATCCCTAGGTATGCTCTGGGTGTCATCCAAGGTCATCCTGGTCCAGGCCTGTCCAAAATGTGCCTGAGGTACAAGGGAGTGGACAAGGGTGTCACTACACCAGGTACAGATGGACAAAGTGATGCCTTTGGCCCATGTCTCCCTTTTCAGTCACCTCCTCCCAGCGCACCCTAGGCACGGACAGAAAGAGTGCAGAGGTTGCAGTGGGTAGTTCTGCATCCCAAGGCCGCATCCTCCTCTTTCCCTGGTACAGGAATCAGATGCCACCTGCCACATGGCCAAGGTGCAGATGTTTTGTCACACCTCTGGGTGTCTGCCCCTTCACAACAGCTCTCAGAGCATTTATTTTCCTTCCTATGTGCTTTGTGAAGTGCTGTGTTTACTTAGCAGTGCTCTATAAATTAAAAGGATTGACGTGCATTTATTTCTGAGGTCTTTTTTAACTTATTCTAAACTATGCCAAATCACAGTGGCCTTAGGGTTCCCAGCTGTTCACTAGCAGCTAGGATTGGACTGCTCACCAGTGTAAGCACATTACTAGAGTTCCTTTCCACATCCATTGTTGGTTTTCCCTGTTCAGTGTCACTTGGCTGAAATAATTCATTTCCCCTGGCCTGGCTGCCCTTTACTGTTTGTGCTCATGTAGCTTGAGAGGAGAATCTGGGTACCAACTCTTCTTTTGCTGCTGCAGAAGCTACAGGGTATGTTCCTCTTCTTCCAGGGATTTAATCACTTTGCGGGCACTGATGAGCCAAATTCAGAAGGTACTGGGAATGTGCAAAAAGGCAAGAACCAGAAGGTTCCCTCTCACAGCAGCCAGCTTGCTGGCTTCTCTACCAGCCCTCTGCTCCCCCAGGGTCATAGTGGGAAGCTACTGGAAAATGCAAATTAGCTGCTGTAATTCCAGCAGACCATCCCTAGCACACCCCATCCCACACTTGTGGTCACCAGCTGGTGACCAGATGCTCCCACCAGCTGTGGGAGCTGTGTAGAATACTGTAAATTCCTGGTGTGTTTAAAAACTGCAGTGGGACTGTGGCACTTCGGAAATACCTAAGGTAGACAAATGGATGAATGACGTCTCTGAAATAAAATCTGTCACCTTGGTGTTCTTTGTTATCTCATCTCTCTCCTTCCCTCCTTTCCTTCCCTCCCTTTTGTCTTTCCCTTCCCTTCCTTCCCCTCCTTTCCTTTCTCTCTGTCTCCCTAGAGTGACCTCCTGGGCATCAATTTCTTGTCCCAAGAATCCGGAGTTTGAGGGATATTCTTAGAATTAGTCTTTATTTTCTAACATTTCTGCAAGAATCTGAAAAGCCAGAGGAGGGCACTCCTTGCTCACCATTCCTTTATGAGAGAAAGTGGTTTGTCTTTTTTACTCTGCAGTGACAAACCATCCTAGTGGTACCTGAACCTGGTTCTAGCAGAGCTGCAGCTGTTCTGAGGAGATTATTTTCGCAGTTCTTCCACCTGAGTTATATGGGATCCAGTTGTCCAGTCCCCTGCTGAAAAAAATACATGTAACAGTGATCACTGAAATACGGCTGCTTTTACTCTCAAATTCTTCTTTGCTTCATTGTTTGTGGCTGGGAAAACAGATTTCTTTTGATCTTGGAAAAGAGGTGTGTTTTTTCTGTGTTTAATAAATTTTAATAAGTATTTTATGTGTTAGCTCTAACACATTTTTTGAGATACATCAAACAAACAAAAGTGTCCCTGCATGCACAGGAGACTCTTTTTTCTGGCTGTGCTTTCCCTTTACCCCAACAACACTGGTCTGACTAGCCAGAGACACAACAGGAGGAGCCTCCATCTCTGAAAAAAAAAAGGAAATACAGGAAATTTCAGGAAACAAAGCAAAGGGAGGCTAGAAGAGGCATTGCTGGAGTACTTTGCTTTGCTGCTTACACTTTTGTGTCCCAGGCTCTGCAGGGCCTTTACCCTTCCCATGCCAACCCTGATGAAAGTATCTGTTGATTAAAGCAGGACATACCAGGTCCAAACATCCTCATGGATGCAAAGATGTGCAAACTCATGTGTTTCCTTGTTTCCAAGGGACTTGTCCAAACAGCCATAGGGACAGGCTGTTCAAAATAACTCTGCCACCACAGCAAACCCTGTGGTGGACTTAGCTGGACTTACTTTGTTTTGCTTTCCAGAGCTCTTGCAATTGCTCTGCTGCTGGTCATGTGCTGCTTTGGGCATTGCCTGCTGTGTCTTTCCCTCAAGCTGACCTTTCCCACAGCCTGCTGAGCAATGCCTGGCCCTGGTTCAGGTGTTTGTGCCCTCCCATCTTTAAGCACAGAACCACAGAGGAGGCTTCTCTGTGTCGCTCCCTGTTCTGTCAGAGTTTCCCCTCACAAAAGAGCAGCCTCACCTTGCTTACCCCAAATCACCTCAAAGGATGCAGAACTCTGCCTTTACAGATGGCAGAGCTTTGGACAGGCCTATGTTATGTCCTTGGACTTTCCTTTTCCCAGCCTTAGCAGATCTTTCCTAGTACAGGGACTGAAGTTTCTTCCCACAGCTCTGCACGTGGCTGTTGTGCTTAAGAAGATGCCTCTTTGCTGGTCAACTGCTTTCTTTTCTTGCCTGATTTCTTTAACAGCTGACCTTTGATTTCTCTCCGCCTTCAGGCAGGCAGATATACCAAGTGAAACAGGAAAAACAGAGTTTACATGTAGTGTGCATTAGAGAGATTGCAGGCATCTTCCCAGTTCATTGGACAGATGATCAAACCTTTATGTGAACCTAGGGTCAAAAATGAACCACAAGATGCTTTATTGAAAACAATTTTAACAATTATTACAAGAAGGGAAGCAGAAATGGGAATGCAGGGGGCAGGGAGTAGAACAGAACAATTCCCTCTGTGTCTAGATAGAGAATTAAAATCACTGAACACAAGTCCTCATATTCTTAGAGAAGTGAAAGGAGATGGAAAAACATGATGGTGTTTGTTCTGGACCCTTAAATCTGAGGAATTACCTGGCATGGTCAGGCCCGTTCGGAGCACAAGGGTTGATGTGAAAGCATTCAGGGTTTGCCTTAGGGCAGCCACATCCTGCCTGAGCTTCAGGCCCTTGCTTTCATTTGGCAAACATGGGATGTAGCTGCTCATGTTAATGTGACTGTGGGTTTCACCTGCACCTTGCATCTCACTGTGTACCAAGCCACTGATGCATGTGGAGAAAAAGTGAATTCCTTTCTCAATGAGTTTAACCCGAGAAGATCCTGAAATTCCTCAGGCTCTGAGTCTCTTGATGCTTCACCTTCTTTGCCATCAGTGCTCAAGCCAGCCATCTCCCAGCAGGGGCATTCCTAGGGAGGGAAGCAGTGAAGTGCCAAGTCAGAAGTAGGAGGGGGAGAAAAAGGAAATGACTGGTATTTAAAAATAGTCAGCCCAGGAGGCATGAACCATGAATTGAAGAAAGATGCCAGAAGAAACCCAGACATGGCTTGGAATGCAAGAGAGAATGAATAATACAGATGCTTCCCTCCAAGCCCGTGAGTGGGTGAAAATGATGTCACTGCTGCTGTGATCATGTAGGTCAGTGCTGGTGCATCACAGCCCTGGCAGTGCTTCTGTAGAGCAGAGAAGAAAAAGAATTCTTCTGGAATACATCAACAAATTGTTACTTCACTCTGTACCACAGAGCTATTGGATTCATGTCTGTGAAGAAGGATCTTCTATTCCCTTTCTTGGTGCTAGCATAGCCCCCATATCTGCAGTACTCTGCCAGCACTTGAAAATCATGGTAGCTTTCTCCCTAATCCAGAGAATAAAGAACATCCATCAGCTGAACAGAGCACACTGCTGTTAACTTTTGTTCCAAAAGCATCAGGTGAAGAAGATCTGCTAAGTAAAGCTTGTGTGAAGATGTTTTGTGCTGGCATCTGTGCACAGTGAGGTTTGCTCTCTTGTCCCTCATGAACATGGGCAAAGGATTCCTTCCTTCTCATTCCCAAGGGTCCCAAGGCTAAAAAGTTCCCATTCCGTATCTTGAACAGGTATCTCCGAGGCTTGGCTTTCATGACATCCAGCAGTTGCAAACAGCCCTTACTGACTTGTGACAGCAGATTACATGGGATGGGTAAAGCTCCTGCCATCCCCAACCACCTACTGGGTTATTTTTAAGTTGGATTGCTTCCCTGATCCAATGCTCAGCACAGCTCCACAAACAGCAGGGTTGGCACAAGAGTGGGAAAACTGCAGTCTGGGGCGGGTTGTGTTGCCACCACGTCATCAAACAGCAGACTGAGGGGAGCAGCAGCAAGTTAAGAGAAAGTAGAACAAGGGTATTAAGCAGAAATTACCTTTTTTTGCACATATTTCCAGAGGAAATCCAGCTTTTGAATCTTTTCCAAGCGTACGTCACACAGGTGGAATCAGTGCCCATCTCTTAAGTGCCTTTGAGGAGTGTACTGCTGTGCTCATCCCACTGAAGCTCTGGTTCCACCTGCTTTTCTTTCAGAAGCAGCATGAGTGTCCCAGTGCTCACATCCCCCTGTGCTCTGCCTGCTGTGGGTGCAACTCCAGCCTGAGGCAGATTGGGAAGTTTCAGTGGCTGAAGAGTAACAGCTCTCCAATTTACCCTTGGCTGTTTTTAGCTGGGTCAGTTCCTGATCCAATCCACTGCAGACACACACCAACAGCTGTGTCAGTGTGACAGGAGGAAAAGGAGGGAAGTGGAGGAGAGGCTTAGATGAGTTTAATCATCACTGGTACCAAATGGGAAAGCACAATCATGAGGGATTGCTTTAAATGCCTGGCAGCTGTTGTTTAAACTTCTCTGCAGCCACCTCTCCTACTACTTCTGCAAGAAACAAGGGCTAGGAAACTTCACAAGAAAGGAAATGCTGTTGTGTCTGGTTTAGGTGCACCTTTCTGCAGGAATCGGGAAGCCGGATGCAGGGAGCCTGAACAAGTCTGCTGGCAGGTAAAGCAGCAAGGGTTTCTCTCAGCTTGCCTACCTGTTGCAGCTTTGCCAGCCTGTACACTTAAAGGTCAAGTCCTGCAGAGATCAAAGTTTGCCAGGACAACAGCCAGGAGCAGCCAGAAGTGTGCAAAATGTGCTTAGAAAATGCTCTGGAGATGATGTGCTGGCCTTTTAAAGCAACACACGGCTTGCTTTGAAATGCTAAGAATTGTGGCAGAAGAACCAAGGGGCACCTTCTCTGCTGTGCTAAACAGTGGTGTGGTCATGTTTGTACCCTGGGATTCAGGGTAGCCCTGACTGCTTCAGCCTCTCTTCCTGCTCCTTTCATCCCTCTAGTATAACTTGCAGGTTGGGTAAACCAAGAAAAGTCAAAACCAAGTTGTAGCAGCTTGGCTTTGTCTCATGGGCTGCTGCTCTGGCATGAAAGTTTTCTGGGCACAAATGGTTTGATTTAACATGGATAGACTTTGGTTTTCATTGTCTTCTTCCCTTTTGAGCCTTTTGCTGCTGGGATGCTCCCTCCTACTTTCTCTTGTCTGTCCTCAGTGGTGTGTTCCACAGGCAGCACAAGGGAGGGGATGGGGAGTTAGGAGTGATTTCCTCCTGTGCCCTCAGAGACTCCTACCCTGAATTTGTCTTTGCCCTCTGTGGGAAAAGTATCTTCTCTTTGTGTTCAGAGTAGCAGGTTAAAACCAGCTGGTGCCTCCTTCAGCACCCAGAAGTGGGGGCTTTATTATGAGCAGGAAGGTTCTGTGTCTGGATGTGTGCCCCTTGCAGCCTCCTGCCCCAGACAAAGAGCAGGCAGCAGAGATTTCAGAATGTGGGTACACCTCAATCCAAAGCATAAACTGAAATGACTGGAAGATGCTACTTCTGTGCTACTTAATGATACACATAAAAAAAAAAAGAGCTTAAATTCCAGTTAGTCACCCTCTGCTGACACATTATATAACGGTGAAATATTGTGCCTGAGACACATGCTAAATACTGATCACTAACAAAAGGCAGGTAGTAATTCTAATGCATAATTTAAAGATGGAAAGTATAATTCACAATCTACAGATTTATTCAGAAGCAGCCAATCCGTTTGGTCAATTAAAATCACTTACTGAGGTATATGACACATTCCATAGGGTGCCCAAGCAAGTGCTGCTGTAGTCAAGGAATGATGGGGACAATTATTAGATGAAGAATTTGCTCCATCCAAAGGCAGAAGTACAGAAAAGATTTATAGAATCATAGAATGGTCTGGGTTGGAAGGGACATTAAAGATCATCCAGTTCCAACCCCCTGCCATGGGCAGGGACACCTTCCACTAGACCAGGTTGCTCAGAGCCCCATCCAACCTGGCCTTGGACACTTCCAGGCATGGGGCATCAACAGCTTCTCTGGGCAACCTGTGTCAGGGCCTCCCCACCCTCACAGGGAAGAACTTCTTCCCAATATCCAATCTAAACCTGCTCTCTGTCAGTTTGAAGCCATTCCCCCTTGTCCTGTCACTCCAGAGTCTTTGAAATAGTCTCTTTCCATCTTCCTTGTGGGCTCCCTTCGGGTCCTGGAAGGCCACAATTAGGTCACCCCAAAGCTTCTCTTCTCCAGGCTGAACAATCCCAACTCTCTCAGCCTTTCCTCACAGCTGAGCTGCTCCATCCCCCTGATCACCTTGGTGTCCCTTCTCTGGACTCACTCCAACATCTCCATGTCCTTGCTGTGCTGGGCCCCCACAGCTGGAGGCAGCACTGCAGGGAAAGTCTCACCAGAGTGGAGTGGAAGGGAAGATCATGAGAAGATTATGAGGAATACTGGCATGTTATCCCTTTAGAAATGCAGCCTTGAGAGAGTGGTCTGACACCAAGCACAGGAGTAGCTGAGAGTGCACGAATGCTACTCTTTCCCCAGGGACTCGCTGCTGTGAGGTCTGGCTGGGCAGAACCAACAGGGAAATGTCATGTTAAGAGATCAGTCAGTGATATTTTGTGGAAACCAAAGCAAAGACAAGCCAGAAAACTGGCAATTGTTTGAGGGCTGGCCTGACTGCAGGCTCCAGTATGAAAGGCATCCAAGGCAACTGCCTGTTCTTTAGGTCATTTATTATGGATTTAGGAGGCATAAAATAGGTTTAAGAGGGAAAACATGAGGCATCTCTGTTTCAAATGGTGGTGTTTTTGAAGGTGAACTCTATGGTGCAATCGCTCTGATAGCAGGCCAGTGCTTACCAAACCCCAACCACTCCTTCTGACTGCCAGGCAAAAGCACATTAACATCCATCCTTTGTCCCCTTTTCAACAGAGAACTACTTAGAACAGGGCAGTTAAACGTGCCATTGAGTGCCTGTAATGGGGAGGGCATTCAGCTGTGGCACGTGGGAGGGGTGTGTGCAGAAAGGGATGAAACGAGAAAAGAGAATCTCTTAAACTGCAGAATTTTTAACATGGAGCCGCAGCCCCTGCCACGCATAATGAAAAGAAGGAGGGCAAAATGGTCCCCAAGAAGCCAAGCTGACTGACAAAGGTAAACCAGCCCAGAAGTACTTTCAGGCCCGAGGAAAGAAATTGAGCATATTCATTCCCCTCCGTGGAGGGCTGGAAACCTTTCGGTGCTGTTAAAGCCACAGAGGAGGATCCATTGGTTTGTTACCTGCAGGAGAGGCCAGGAAGGGTGAGTCCTGCAGGTTCTCCCAGACAATGCACCGAGTCTAATAAAAGTCCTCTTTTGTTTTAACCCTTGATTTATCTATCAACTTAAAAGAAAATCTGAAAATTTGAAAAATCTTAAAATTAAGTCTATTTAAACAGAATGGTGACTGGGAGTCACACCTAAAACATACCTCACTGGCTGAAGGCTGTATCTGCTCTTCCAAGAAAAGAGAAAGTTGGCTCATGCCAGAAATATGTGGCTGCCAGCCTTGTTCCTTGCCATGCAGTGCAGTGTTCTGCTCACTGTCTTTTCCAACAGCCTGTCATCTTCTTGCAGAGACTGTCCCATCAGCTGCAGCACCTATTTTCTCAGCCTAAGAGAAACTGCAGAGACACGGGACTTTTACTGGAGATCACCAAGGACAAATGCGTGACTTCCCACATTTGTGTAAAGTCATTTAGAAATTACTTGTGAGTGAAAAGTTTTCTCTTCCTTGGGCAGGGTTTTTTGACTCACACAGGTATTTTGTGGCTTCTAAAGACTATGTACAGTCATTCTCTTGCTTTTCATGAGTGTTGTGGACCTAAGCTCTCACAGGGAATCATAAAATGGTTTGGGTTGGAAGGGACCTTAAAGATCATGTTGTTCCAACCTGGGACAACTTCCACTATCCCAGGTTGCTTAGAGCCCCATCCAACCTGGCCTTGAACACTTCAAGGGATGGAGCAGCCACAGCTTCTCTGGACAACCTGTGCCAGGGCCTCACCTCCCTCACAGGGAAGAATTTCTTCCTGATACCCAATCTATACCTGCTCTCTGTCAGTTTGAAGCCATTGCCCCTTGTCCTGTCACTCCAGGCCCTTTCAAATACACTCTCTTCATCCTTCTTGTAGGCTCCCTTCACGGACTGGAAGGGCGCAATGAAAAACCAAACCAAGAATGAAAACAAAGCCACCCAGCCATAGAATCACAGAATCTGTTAGGGTGGAAAAGACCTTTAAGATCATCAAGTCCAACCACAAACCATCTTACCTTCCATGGTGCACTTGGGTCTGTTTCCCTGCCTTTATGACGATGACGACTGCAGCAGCTGAAACTGTGGACAAAGCCACCCCTTCTATATTTAGGGTTTGTCCCAAGAAATCAAAAAGCTGTGCAAATACTGGCTTTTTTTAATCTCAGAATTGCATCCAGGAATGACAAGCAGTTAAAAAAACTCCAAAATCAACCCTGAAAAATTAAATAGAAAGGGAAGAAAACTGGCTAGAAGTTCTGTAGGAAAATAAGTTATTTAGTTTAAGTGGGATCCAATGTGAACTCTTTATAGTATTATATTCTGAGCTGAAGAACCGAGGCTCCATTCCTCTCCCACTACTTCCACTCCTAGGACTGTTGAGTAGTTAACATTCACTAATAAATATTGTACAAGATTTAGATAAAGCAGTGCTACCTAAACCAACTAATACATAAATAAAACGGGGAAAAAAATGCCTTTGCATATAAACTTCCATTTCAGCTGTAAATCTCACGTTTTCCTTTGCAAAAAACCTGCATTTAGCCTTTTTCTGAAAGCAAGAAACACTTTAGAACAAATATTTTAAATCCATTGTAAAGTTGATAGTAGAAGGAGTGAAATGAAAGTTCAGTTTTGTGTCTTTATTATTATTATTATTATTATTAACACCTAAACACCTGATCTAAGAAGTTTTTTTATCAAACTTAGAGGTCAGAGTTTAAATACTGATGATCCATTTCATGCTGTAAGTGTCTCATCCCACAGTAATATACATATTTCATGGTTTGACTGCACTAGGCACAGCCAACTGAGAAAAATACAAAAGAAACTACTGTGAATTATCTGTATCATTAAGACACAAAATTAAAAACAGAAAGAGTTCTCACCCCTGCCCTGCAGTAAAAACCAAAAATATGGCACACAATACTACTGCAAAATCAGCCACCATGAAACTTAGTTCAGAATTCTCCTTTCTCTTTCAAAGAATAGATTATTACATGGTTTTCTAATTACATATTATGTATTAAAATAAAATACATGTATTTCCATTGAGGCACTTACTTATCAATGAATAATTTTATTTAAGAAATTTTAAAAGCCTTTCAAATTGTTACACATACAGGTTTTCTACATAAGCAAGAAGAAATGAAAGAAAAGGCGTAACCACAAGGACATGTTTTGCCTGGAAGAGCTTCATAGCCCTGGATGAGGAACCTATCACGGGAACCCATCTCCTGCAGAGTCACTTGAAGTTGCACAACTCTGTTTCAGATTAAATACCAATGACCTGCTTCACTCTTACAATGAATTTCACTGTAAAAAGCACATTTAATACCATGACTCAGTCGGCAAAATATCTTCTGCTCCTCCTGGCCAAGGCTTGCTGTGCCCCACAGCCACTTCCAGCAAAGGCTCCTGCCACTCACTTTTCCCAAAGATTAATGGCTGAACAGCCAAAGGGACCAAAGAGGATTTGTCATCAGTACCTGCAATAATGAAAGCACCCACAATTATACTGTGTTTTAAAATAGCACCCCACCCCCCCATAATAGAAGTCATCACAAATATACCCCAAACTTTCAACCTACAAGCCACTGATTTTTTTGGGAGGGCATTCAAACAAGTACTGAGGGATCTATGAGAGGTCACAAATTAAAACAAAGACTTATTAGTAGGGCCTACATGTAATGGAAATGCTCAAGGGGTCTGGAACTGAAAAAACCCTCACATTACAACCACTTTTATAGCTCTGAGGTAAAAAATCAAGAAAAATAAGATGACAGACCATGTTCTTATTAAATCTTTAATTCCTAGGAGTCCCAAGTGGTCAGCATTACATAAACTTTTATTAAAAATAAATTCCATTCCATGAATAACTTGCATGTATTGTGGAAAATATTTATTAAAGGCAAATGCCATTCCATGAATAGCTTGGGTGCTGCTTACTTGGGTAATAACAGTGTGTTCATTTATTTTAAATGAAGTTCTGTCTTCTGCCCAATTAAATTAGTTTTATGCCTTAGTCTATCACCCTTTTCATAAGTCTATAGACACATTTTATACAACATAGGGTTTAAAATACAGCTTTCATAAGAACACATAAAAAAGGACACTGAATGCAGCTCAATAGTTGCTCTTAACAAAGGCTCAATGGGAGGGAAAAGCAAATAGAACAGAGAGAATAAAATGTCTGTGATGAAGAACCTCTAAACCTGGCCTAGGGCTGGGAGACAACCACACAGGGACATGAATTATTGTTCAGGTCTATGTCCTGCCAAGTTAAACCACTTCCCACATTGCTCCTTCCATGATCCTACGCTGATGGAATCAGCAAGAAGCAAGAAAAAGCAGGAAGACAGAGAAAGCAACACCAAACTCCTGGCACATATTGCAGGAGCAATGGCACAGCACTCTTGCATACTTGTTTCAAAACAGAGCAGCTGCACGTGCTGCCCTGGTACAGAAAGGGTCTCCAGGGAAAACTCAAACAACTGAAAAATGTCATCCTCAACTTTTGTAGACAGAGATCCTTACATTAGGGGATCATCCCTGGAGCCAGCTGCCATCTGCAAGTGTTTCTCGGCTATGCTGAAGGGTTAAGTATGCAACTTTTAAAAGCTGGATTGTTGGATGGAAGAAAAAAATTGTTTATCCCACCCCTTACCACTGTCCATGCACAGCCTCTTCTCTGTCAAGCTCCTCTGCACGCAGGTTTGGAGTCTACAACAGTACAAACACACACACACACATATAAAATCTGTAACAGTATATCCTGATATCCCATAGTATCTAATATAACAATATGATATTGGATAGTGTATCCAATAAATTAGTCTGCCTTTTTTTTACATACAGCAAGTAAAACTGCAGCCATGCATACACAAATTCCCTCTCCCTCTAACTGAACAAACAAGCTTTTTACAGAAACCACATCATCTGTGTTTCCTGACTGTGTTGTTTCAGATTCTGACTTGCTCACCTTTTTTGCCTCTGGGCTTCTGTCTTCTTTGGTCTTACTTCTTCATTGTTTCTATTCCACACATCCCTTCCAGAAGACAAACTGCAAAATCACAGGAGTGAAACTGCTGAATTTTTGAAACCACAGCTCTCAGAGAAAGATGTATTATCAGCCCATCCTCATCTTGAGTGAAGATTAACTCTGTATTAAAACCAAAAATAACTTTAAAATATTTTAAGTAATAACAAACTGAGAATAAGCCATCAAACAAAATAAGAAGAGCTCCTTATTCAAATATTGAAGAAGCATTTCTAGAGCATGATTCACCTACTCCTAAGGTCGACACTAAAACAGGTTGGATGATTCACCACCTAAGAGTGTCCACTTCTCCCCAGAAGTTTCGAAATCAGAAGGCAGTTTAGATACTCTATTTGATTTTTAAAAAATATGTATTTTAAGATTTGGGGATTAATTTCATGATCTACTTTTGACAGGCTCATAAAGGTTTTTTTTTTCTCTAGTTGCTTGAGGAAGTTAGGCTTTTTTATCCCACTGTCAGCCCCCCATTTGTCACAGAGTAACCAACTGGCTCATTTCAATCAAATTTAATAAGCTCTTAGAGGAATCAGAGATGAGCAGGCTCCTATAGGCAGGGATCAGTGGCCAGGTACAGCAGAGAGCTCTCACTGGCATCCCCATGGGAGGATCAGCAGGGAGAGTCTGCCCTTATCCATGTTGTTTGGCAGTTTATGTAATATCTTGTCCAGGAAGAAGGTCAAAATACTTGGTTTGGGGTCACTGAATCTGTTGGGAACACGGGAAGGACAAAAGGATGATTTACGGGAAAAGGGGTGTTGGGAAGAAAGTAAAATAAACAACTGCAGAATGTGTCAATTTTATAATAAAGTATTAATTGGAATATTGGTAATAATGAGCTCTCTATATACTGTTTGGGGTGTTTAGACTGTAAGGATTTGATTCTGTAACATTGCATGTGACCAGGACTTCCACTGCTGTCCACTGAAACACCTGATACAAGGACTGTCAAGAGCCAAATGTGGGGCTGGTTCACTCCAACTGAGCCTGCAAGCTGGTGCTCCTAAAATGAAGGACAGGACCTACACCTGTTTTTTTGGTAGCCCTTCCTCTCTAGACCCTGAAATGCTCACATCCCTTAGAAGATGGGGACCTCTGCCTCCTAAGAGAATCTCCAAAACAGATTACCAGAAATGAATCAGAAATTGTCTTCTCCTATGAGGAAAGGCTGAGAGAGTTGGGGTTGTTCAGCCTGAAGAAGAGAACTCTCCAGGGAGACCTTATGTGGCCATTCAATATTAGAGAGGTCATACATGAAAGATGGAGAGAGGCTATTTCCGAGGGCATGGAGTGACAGGACAAAGGGTAATGGATTTAAACTGACAGAGGGGAGGTTTAGATTGGATCTTAGGAAGAAGTTCTTCCCTATGAGGGTGGGGAGGCCCTGGCACAGGTTGCCCAGAGAAGCTGTGGCTGCCCCATCCCTGGCAGTATCCAAGGCCAGGTTGGATGGGGCTCTGAGCAACCTGGTCTAGTGGGAAGTATTCCTGCCCATGGCAGGGGGTTGGAACTGGATGATCTTTAAGGTCCCTTCAGACCCAAACCATTCTGTGATTTTATGATCCAAGAGCACCTGAGGAGAGAGCTGGTGACTTTCCTGAACCTCAGAATCCAAGACAAACCCCACAAGGCAAGGACACTGGTTTCCTGGCAGGGCTGGGAGGTGCGAGGAGTGAACTGCACATGCTGGTTCCTGTGCTCGACAGGGCCTGGGGGCCTGGCATCCTGCTCCCAGCACCTGGTTCTGAGGTTCCCCCCCTGCGCCCACGCAGCATGCCTGCTCAGCCCCAGCAGGAGTCCTGGCCAGCCCCACCGTGGGAAGCCACTGGGAATGGGGAGGGGGGTGCCCAGGCTGGGTGGCACCAGCACGTGGCCAGAGAGAAGCAAGAAACCACCACTGAAACCAGGCAGGGAACAGTAAACCTGGTCCAGGCAGGAGCACGGGCACGGGAGAACATCTGCAGGGATAAGAGGTTTGGAAAACAATCTCTGGGAAGAAGCGGGGGAAGTGGGTTTGTTGAGTCTACAGGAGGCTGGAAATAGGGCAGGACATGATAGTGCAGTTGCAGCACATGAGAGGTTTTTGTGAAGAGAGGCAGCGATTACACTGCAGGAAGGACAACAATAGGATCTAATCAACTTAATTTCCAGGAAAGGAAAGAAGACAGGAGAAAAGAAAAAGGATGGATGTTGCAAAAATGTTCTCTGAATAAGCCAGCACTGGAATAGGTTATGTGGGAGGTTATGAAACCCCCTGGACTAGAAGTTTGAGAAGTTAACCAGATATCTCTCAGTAGATGGACTGCCATGCTATCCCTCAGCCTTTGGAAAGCAAAGATCTATCCTTTTCAAAAATAAAGTAAAAAGCACCCATGCATATCACACAGACCATTAAAGGCATAAGTGATAAGAATAAAAAGTTTAGCATTTGGGTAACAAAAGTACTATGGGCCTGGGGAGATCATGTCGGTTTTTTGAGAATCACCAACAAGAAGGAGGTCCAGGGAATGGAACAGCAAATATCTAGACCTCATATCCACTGAACTGCAGTTGTGACAAGCTAACCTTTAAACTTTTTGGTCTTTGTTTCTTTATTCTCTCAGTTTTTTGAGGGGGGTTGCAACTCACCTGTCCCAGGAGGTGTCAGAAGAGTCATCTCTCTGTGACAAAAGCACACTGAGCACAGGACAAGGATGTGGTCCCTACCTCAGCCAGTCTACAAGCTGAGCATCCCATGTAATGCAGTGAGTTTTTTTCTAAGGTAGAAAACCCACTCTTTTTATAGGGTCATTCTGCTTTTATTTGCAGTATTATTCTTGTGCCTTTCTCAACTAAATGCAAAGAAAACTAAAAATATCTCACAGCATGAATCACAAAAAAGGCCCTTTCTGTGTGCTGAGGACAAAAGCCTTTGTGTTTTTGCTGAAACGAAACAATCCTGCTTCAGTCTGCCCTTCCAACAATGGCATCAGAGCTCCAAACAAACAATACTTCCCCAGGCCAAGTGCATGGGTGTGTTTCTCTCCAAGCTCACATCCACCTTTACAGTCCATCATATGAGAAAGGTTTCTTTTTCCATAGCTGAGTGGAGTGAGGGTCATGGAGAATCCCCTCTTGGTATAAAACAAGCCAACATCACAGAGGTGACTTCAGGAACCTGTGCTCATTTTTCTGGTATTAAATTTGTGGGCCATTACAGGGTCCATGTTAAGTTTAGGGCCTCCAGGAAAGCTGCCATGGGTGGCCTAGCTGGGGTTTGGTCTTGCAAGGGATCAGAAACTACATGAAAGTTTGGTTAAAGGAAGGGCTTGGTCCCACAGAAGATGCCTGTGACCATGGCTATGCTCTCCAGGAAGACTCTGCTGAGTCGTTATGCTGGACCAGCACCTTGCAGGTGTTTTGGAGAATGACAACACGGACCTCCTGGCAGTTTCTGGAGCAGGTTGAGGGTTCAGTGATGTGTGGTTAGTACTGGATGGTGAGGATGTCAGGATGGGATAGGAGATCAAGGGCCACCAACCTTCTGCAGGGTAGGGGATGGAGAGAGATCAGGCAAAGCCTAGAGGAGATGGGTTTCTCCTGTAGCCGTCATAAATAGGAGAAATAATTTGCACTACAGGGGAGAGTATTCCAGGCAGTAGGATTTCCTTCCAGTGCCTGACAACCCCTCTCTGTCCAGGAAAAGACTACGGATGGTTTCTTTGGGCTAAACCTGATCTCCACCATGCACAGACATGGAGTGAGCAGCCAGTCTGCAGCCCCACACACCTCCCTCTTATGTGTGCCAGCCTCACTTCTGTGCCTTGAGCTGAACAAGGGGCTTTCATTTCCTCCTGTGGCTAAAATCACTGATATTTTATTTTGAAAAAAGCTGAAACTACAATAGAATGGTAGATCTTTCTTGAGCACTCTCACAAAAAGCCTTAACAGTAATCCAGTGCAATTGCCTGCCTGAGCCTCACAAAAACTGAGAGGGAAAGCCAAGTTGTTCTTTAAACCTGCTGGTGTGATGCTGTATTGACCTCACCAACATACAGGAGCATGTAAAACAAACAGGAGGGTGTTTGTGTTCATGTCCTCCCACCTGGATGCAGGAAACAGCATCTGGAACAGCTTCCCATGAGGGGGCACTGTACTATTACATATCCAGGCTTGGAGACCTCCACCTCAAGGACTCATGCAAAGATGCTGAATGTGGAGGGAGGCACATTTCAGCTGTTTATGCTCCTCTGCAAAAACTAAGCTGATGAGAAATTACTGTGCTTATCTCATTAAAAGTTACACTGTTATGTGCAATTTTATCTACCAATAAAAGCCAAAACGAAACCCCAAATGCTACATCCAGGTCACAGGGAGAATTTGGGATTTCTGTACTTTTAAGTGCTTGATTTCACAGCCATTCAAGAGGATCTTAATACAAACTAGGAACTTTTGTGTGAAATTTTTTAATTAATGGAACCCTCTTTATTGGTGAATGGGACAAATTAATCTGTTTGTGGACTGGATTTTGTGTCTAACCAACAAGAGGGCTGGTCTGAGTCATCACTACTGACCTACACCACAAGCAACACCACTTGGACGGACATTATCCTATGAGGATCTCATCCAGGAAGAGGCAGCTTCCTAGCACAGTGGTTTCCCAGTGAGCAGAGATGGGATGACTGGATGGGGTTGGGGCAGAGGCAGTGCTGCTGTTGTGAGCACAGGGGAAAGCTGAGTGTCATCCTCTCAACTGTGCTGCTCACACTGAGGTGCTGCAGCTGCCTGCATGGGCAAAAACCTGCACACAGGCAGCTCCCTTTCTGTTGGAACCAGAGGAATATTTGGCAAGCCCCTGGAAGGCAGCATGCTGCTTTTGTTTTTGCTCTCCATGCTCAGTTTTGCAGAGGTCCTAACCATTTCAGCAGCTCTGGACTTGAGTAAGATCTAAATAAATCACATCTGCAGTGATGTGATTTTGTCTGTATTCCACCTTTTCCTTACAATGATTTGCTTCTAGGGCTCACAGCTGAGCAGAAACCCTGAAGAAATGACCACAGGGTAACCGACCTACCCGAGCCTAAACAGAACAGAAAGGCAGAATGAAGTGTGCTGGTTGTTCTGGTAGTGAATTGATTTGTTATCAGCATCCTTTCTACAGAGGGCTATGAGTGTCATACACCCCCCTAAGTTAAGTTATTGCCATGAACGCCCATATATGCCAGAAAAGTTCAGAGGAAGACTCTGCTTAAGTTCTTGCCTTAGCAAATGGAGTGTAAGTATTTTACGAATCTTAGTAGCCTTCTCCTGGAATTCTCAAAGAGGGAAAGAAGAAAATGGATCATAGATCCTCTCTATTTAAGCCTTTTCTCACTCCTAAGGAAGGGAAACATCAGTCAGTGAGCTGCAGGTAAAGTCAAGCAGCAAGTCTGTCAGAGACTCAAATCCAGCAATTACCCGCATGTGGATGTGAAAGGGAGAGGTGTGTATGGAGTGGGCTGGGAAACAATTTACTGCACCGAGACATAGCATTAGGGCTCTGCTTCAGGTTTGCACAAGGATTTATCTGCATCTTATTCAAGCAATTATCTTCTGCACAGCTCCCTGTCCCTCTGTGGACACTGCGCAGGAAGGACGGCTAGACACGACACCGGCAAATTCCCGTTTATCTGTGTGCTCATCTCCACCAACTTCCTCCATCCCAAGAGGCCAAATTCACAGGCCATCCACCCCACCAATCTGCAAGGAGAACCTGGTTCTTAAATGCCTGTAGGATCAGGAATATTGCAGGAATAAAGAGAGGAAATGACAGCTTTAAAGAACTGAGGCTATGAATTACAGCCTGAGCTCTGGATGGAGCCCCAGGAGAGGAGCACAGAGGAGCAAAGCTGTTAACAAATTAGTCTCCTGTGCAGGGGAGGCAATATTCAAGACAGGGATCTGAAGAACTGGATCCCAGACAGCTGGAGACACCACAGCAGCCTCAGTGCCTGGACCAGACTGCAATATCCTCAGGAAGCTGCTGCTCCCCAGCGCTGCAGCCCACAAAGCTCTCAGCTGTTCTCAGAGACCTTTGAAGGCCACGTGTATGGGAGATCACAGAGGGATTGGGGGAAAAAATAGCTTTGTTGCAGTGTTCACAGTCACAAAACACAGAAATTGAAAGCCCCAGCAGGAAACCAAGAGCTGCCTCCTAAAGCTTCCCTGGGAGCTGCAACAGAGGATTTCAGTCTGTGAGAGACACCTGCCAGGAACAAGCAACTGGGGTATCCTTTGCATGGATGAACTCACAGGAGAAAAAGGATAATCCCAAAGATTTCCTTAAAATTGTAACTGAGCTTGGAATTGCCTATGTGGATTGCTGTGCAAGAACAGCTGCTTGGAAATGTTTGCATAACCAGTTTGCATTAAGGTTTCTCAAAATTTGTTTGTGGTACTTCTGGATAGTAAGATCAATGTTGTGAGTCTGGATTACCAAGAATTAAAACTTTTGATGATGAAGTAGCGGCAAAGCCCTTTAAAAGCTTTCCTATCTCTCTCCTTGTCCAACTACTCATTCACCCAGTACAAATGGGGGAATGAGTACATCTTAATAGTACAAAGCACTGAGTTTTCTAACCTGTATTTATTTTTTGGATCCTTGTTTACAGATATTACCTTGTATTTCCTAGGTCTCCTGATGTTTGTGGACAACAGGCCAGAAATCACTGCAATAGTTTTACTCAGTAAAAGACACCTATTGCTGGCATTCAATGTAAACTACAAAAAATGTCCTTATTTATGTTCTTGGTCATAAACCATCTTTTCCCTGTACTAGTTCAAGCTTTATGTTTTGGGGAAAAAAAACCCTCTATCTCAAACTCGTGTTATTTACCTGCAAGGACACTTCAATATAGATCTCTCTATATTAATCAGGTGGGAATAGGGCTTAAAACAGGAATAGGGCTTCAACAGGAAGGAAGGAGGGTGGTGTTAAACTGCATTAGGTATATCAAATGTAATTTCTGCAAATTTGGCTGAGGAAAGTCTTTGTAAAAATGTAAAAGCTTGCTCCTATTTCACTGAAAATTCAATTGCTAAGTTGCCAAATACTACTGATGAGCAGGAAACACTATGCAGGTGTTTCCATTTGTACAAGGAGTCCTTAATCCTTTTTGGACAGAAAAAAAATGAAGTTGAATAAGGATTATAAAGATATATAATTTTACAGGATTATTTTGTTCCTGGTTTTATTCTGTAGGAGCAAACACATTGTTGTATCTAGGTCACTTGTTGGCTGCAGGCTATTTGGGATTCCCAGGGGAGAAGGCACTTGAGAACCCTTTTCAGTCTGTACCTGCTTCTCTTGGGATGTACTTGCTCTTTGACAATATGGGTTTTGTCTCAGTGCTACTATTATTAACTCAGATTATGTGGGTTTATAACCAGTTTTACATAGGAAGGCATCTCTGGTCATATCACCTGAAGGACTTTCCCAGCTCTGCATTTTCCTAAGCCTTTCTGTCACAGGCACTTGGACATATCCTTGAACAAATTTCAGGAAAGATTCCAGAAATCAGTACTTGTCTATGCGAAGTCCACAGTTTCTTGCACACCTGGGATAAGTGAGGGCTCTGCCAGACAACAGCAGGAGTTCACCCTTAAAACTGCACCTACAGCTGGCACGGAAGCAGATTCCCAGACTAAGTCCGGCCCAAGCTCACTTCCACAAATGAGGGACTTCCTGTAAGTAAACCAAGAAACAAAAGCTAAAAATACTGCTCCTCCCCAGCTGCTGTCATGTGGGGAAATCAGAGCATGAGATACACCTTCATCTGAACCAGGGAAGCTCAAAGCCGCATCCCCGAGAGATGGTTTGCACACTCCAACAGCGTAATATTCCAGTGTATCCCTTCTGCCCTACCGGACTGAATCCAAAGCAATGGCTGTAAGAATAGAGAACCTCCGTCAATCATAAGCCTGTATTCAAGATAAAACAAAAAACAAAAAAAAAAAAACATGAGCAAACTGTGGAAATGTGACCTTCTTTCCTCTTTCGGTCGAGCAGCTGCTGTCGCTCGGGGAGGTGCTGGCACTGGCACCTACAAATGCAACAAGCGCACTGCGGTACCGAAGCTGAGCTGAGGCCTGGGGGAGTCTGCACTTCCCTGTGTGCTGCAGTGAAAACGCAGTGCTGGATGCTGGGACTCTGCTCCCTCCTGAGGGAGAGCTGTAAACAAGGGGCAGGAAAGGAGACGAAGGGCCGTTACCGCTGGATGTTCCCAGCAAGCCTTGGAGGAAATGAAGGAAACAGCCGGACCTGACTCACTGGGGATGGGTGTTTTACTTGCCGTTTGTGTAAACTTACTCCAGCTCAGCTTCCAGTCCACTGTTCTGCTACTTTCCATGATTACAAAGGTTCTTCTTGTCATACACACAGGTTTGCACCTGCTTGGAGTAAGGTATAGCTGCTAAACATGCCTAGGAGAGGGAACTGGTTTTCCAAGGAGGGCTCAAGCAGATGATTTTAGTTAATTTTAAGACCCTTAGAGAACTCCCTTCCTCTGCAGTACTTCTGGCATGTCAGCAGCTTAACCAAGAGTTACTGCCAGGCTCTGTCCTGCTGTCTGCCTGGCTTTTTACACGCACAACTGTGTGCTTTGCATGTAGGAGAATGAAACCCAGAACAATGTCTGCTGTGGAGCAGTGAGGACGTGACAGCACCGGGCTTCAGCGGGACAGGATGTTTACGAGGAGGATGTCTGAGTGGGAGGGCAGTGTCCAAGCTGCCTCTCAGCCTGCTGATAGCACAAGGCACTGCAGGAAGCAGGAGCACATCAAGGTACAGGGCCCTGCTCCTGTTGCTGCTGGGCCTCTTTGCAGCAGGAGGCTTTCCTTGCAGGGAAAGGGGCATCCCAGGTACTCAGGTGGTGCAGCCCAGAGTTCAGTGGGCTGAGATAGGACATGGTGCAGCCCAATCCACCTGGGACACCTCTGTGCTGCTCTCTGTCCCACCTCCCACTAATGCTGGCTCTCACTTTGCCAGGGGAGGACCCCCAGGGATCCCCTGGCCAAAAAACAGTGACTCACTGTAGCTCACCTTCTTAAAGGGGAGATAGTCCCAGCATGGAACAGGACCTCACCTGCTTACCCTGTGCAGGGTTCCAGATATGCAGATGTTCTAAACATAAGAAAACCGTTTCTTTTACCATGAGGATCGTTAAACTGGGCCAGATTGCCCAGAGAGACTGTGGACTCTCAAGATATTAAAACCCCAACTGGACACAGCGCTGGGCAGCTCCAGCTGACTCTGTTCTGAGCCAGGGGGTGGGCTAGATGGTCTCCAGAAGTGCCAGCCAGCCTCAGGGATTTTGGAGCCCACCTGTTCTTCATTGTCACTGGCAGAAGCACTTCAATGGCACTGCCATTTTGCACAGGCCCACACAGAATTTAGGGAGTCCAGTTCCCACGAAGTTAGGGAATGAGAGCTTGGCCCACAGAAGGATACAGGTAGTGATACTGAGAGTTCCACATTTTAACTTCAGGCACTTTTCAACCCAAGTAAGGCATGAAGAAAAGTCAGGCACTCAAACTCTCTGTGCAATGGCCAGAGAAAGCAAGGTATCTCAGGATATGATTCACAAAAGCAAACAGAAAATTGCCTCTGCAGATGCTGGAGGTGCAAGGACAGATATAAAGATTAAGCCCTTCTTAGACAATGAGCTGCCCTTTTCTGAATGACAGAGGTGCTGTTTTCCAGTCAGGATGAGGAATTCCAGCCTACTGCCAGCGCTAGGAACTTCTAAAATGCAGTAGGAAGAAGCATCACCTATTTATGTAATGTCCCAGAAGTTTGAGCACCAACCTAAGAGAGACATGATCCAGAGTTGATTTCCCAGTATTTTGTGACCTTTGGGAATTTGAAGTATCCCTTTCCTCACTGTTGACTGTAAACACAGTGATGTGGAATAGGAATCTCAATGGCAGAAGCTGATCCACTCTGCTGGGAAAAGACATCCACACAAAGGAGTTATGGAATCAGAAGGCAGCAGCACAAGTACGATGTCCCTGGTCAGGCCAAGCTCCCTCCTCTCTTTTGCTGAACTCCTCAGAGCACATCCTGGAGGACACACACCTGTGCAAGCCTCAGGAAATGATTAGGGAAAAAAAAAAAAAAAAGAGAGACTTATCAAAGAGATGACTCTGGATATCAATTTGAGGAGATAGAAAATACAGGTAAAGCCATCCTCAGTCACCTGTTGAGCATAATTCTTTGCACACCTTGCATTCTTGATCAGCAAAGATCAATGCTGAAGGAAAGTGCATCCTTATATAAATCCTGTACCCCTTTAAGCAAATCCAGGCATCTATACTGCAATTAGTAAAACTGGGGCAGTAAAGAACAAAGCAACCTACTCTGTTTATTTTGCCATAAAATGGAAACTCCCAGCAACCCCAAAACTTCTGAATTCGCCCTTTTTTTTCCATGATCACAATAATCAGCTGTGTTAGGGCTTCCCTTTTTCCTGCTACTCCCAGACATCCCAAACACATACTGTCTTGTATCTAGTTGTCCTCCTCTCTTCTTCTTTCCCTTTATTTGTGCCTTTTCTCTGCCAGGCTCTGTTCCACTCTCCCATGTGGGGGAAATCTCCCTACAGGCTGTGAACCCCTGTCACTACAGTCAAACTGGCAGACAGGGACAGAATTACCTTTACTGGGAACCGATGTTCTGTCTCCTTTCAGTCCACAGCTGAGCACAGCCAAACAAATCTTTGATGCAGGCAGGGCTGCTCAAGATATTTACCAGTGTACCTAGGAGAGAATACCCAAGAATTTGAGCTGCGGATTCTGCTTTTTAATGCAGCCTACAGAGTTTTTTTACCCACGTCCCACTCAATTTCTTCTAAATTCAGATGTTTCATTCATTTACATTTATCTGACGATCTCAGATGTAATCCTGGGATCCTGTGTAATCCTGTAAAGTCTGGGACAACCTGGCACTTTTCCTTAAAACCCTGGCTGCCTATTGGGAGGAAACACAAGGTCTTCACGCATGTACAGCTAAGGAGAGGGAAAACAAGAGACTCAGCTAATGAAGGAAACTTAAAAAATAAAAAGCCCCTCTGTTTCTTGAGTCGGGATCAGGTGGGTCAGGTGCACCCTGGAGGCAAAGCAACCAAGCGCTACAAGCTTTCTCCCCTTGCCCAGACCCAGGGGGAGGATGCAGTTATTACAGAATCACAGAATATTCTGAGTTGGAAGGAGCATCGAGTCCAGCTCTTAGCCCTGCACAGGGCCATCCCCAAGAGTCACACCGTGTGCCTGAGAGCGTTGTCCAAACGCTCCTTGAGCTCTGTCAGCCTTGGTGCTGTGCCCACTGCCCTGGGGAGCCTGGTCAGTGCCGAACCACCCTCTGGGGGAAGAACCTTTTCCGAATATCCAACCTAACCCTCCCCTGACACAGCTCCGGCCGTTCCCTCGGGTCCTGTCCCTGCTCATAGAGCAGAGGTCAGTGCCTGCCCCTCCGCGGCCCCTCGTGAGGAAGCTGCAGATGCTGTGAGGTCTGTCCTCAGGGACAGTGCTCTCTCCTCCGGGCTGAACACACCAAGTGCCCTCAGCCGCCCGTACGGCTTCCCCTCCAGGCCCTTCACCCACATTCATATTATTCAATTAAAAAAAAAAAAAAAAAAGGAAGGAAAATACCTTGCGCTCGGACGCGTCGGGGGCGGCTTTTCCCGGCCGGGCGCAGGAGCGGGGAGAGGAGCGGGCACAGGACGCGCCGTGTCCCGCGGCGGCCCCTCGGCCGCCCTGCCCGGCCCGGCCCGGCCCTGCCCCGCCGCGGTGCCGTCGGAGCGCGGCCGCGGCCCCGCTCGCCAATCAGGGCGGCCCGCCTGCCTTCCTGTAGGTGTGCCCGGCTCACCTGGGCCCGCTCGGCGCTCATGACACACCTGCGGCCCCGCGCAGGGCGGCGGGAGGGCGGGCGGCGGCCGAGGGGCGCCGGGGGGGGCAGCGCTGGCCCCGGCCCCGCGATGCGAGCCCGGCGCAGGTAAAGCTGGGGAGGGGGGGGGAGGCGTTGCCGTATTCCCGGGAGAGGCGTTGCTGTGTTCCCGGGATCGGTGTTCCCGGGATAGGCGCGGGCCTGGCGCCGGATCCCCGCGGAGCCCGGGCCGGGGCGCACGGACGGAGGGGCGGCTGCCCCGCGGGGCCGGGGCGGGGGCGACGGGCGGGCTCGGGGGAGCGCGGGGCGGAGGGGGGGGACGACAAGGGGGGAAGGAAAGGGGAGGCAGGGCGGCCGACCCACCATTTTAGGACCCGAGGGGGGACGGGAGGAGGGATCTCCGGGGAAGGAGCTGCTCGCTCCTCCCGGTGCGGGTGCGCGGTGCGGGCGCCGTCGGGGCGCGGAGCCCCCCCCCGCCGCGGGGGCGCTGCGGGAGCCCCGGTGCCCGCCAAGAGGCGGCCGAGGGCGCGGCTGCCCGCCCGCCCCGGGGCAGCGCCGGGGTCCGCATCCTTCGCGCGGGGGTCTCGCATCCTCCGCGGGGGCTCCGCGCCCCGACGGCAGCGCCCGCCCCGCCGCCCCCCCGCCCGCCGCCGGCAGCGGGGAGGGCCCGCAGCGCAGGCCCGGTCCCAGGCTCGGCTGCCAAGCAGCCCGAGCCTCTTCCCGCAGAAATGGTGGTGCCTCCCACGCAGGAGCGAGATCCCACGGTGTGCTCGCTTGGGTTTTCCAGCTCCCGCCGGGAGCCGCGGCCCGGGAGTCGCAAGGCTGAACTCTGGACACTTCGTTGTTTTTCCTCCTCGCCTCGTGACTTTTATGGCCTGTCACGGAGGGAAGGCAGAGGAACGCGAGGCGAGATCCCTGCCCGCTGCTCGCTTCCTGCCTCCTTCCCGCAGTCCCGGCCACCGCAGCAACTCCGATGGCAACCCCAGCGCCCCAAACAACCTGCTGCGGGGGATTCCGAGCTCCCACGGCTCTCTCCTGACCCGTCCTGCTTCCACCACCCATGTTTGTCCTCGCGCTTGATGCTCCGTGTATTCCCAGATGTTGGCCAAAACCTGGATCAAACCTGGTAGGGATTACAGGGTCAGAGGAGGAGATCTGAGCTCAGCTCATTGGTGTTGACTTGTTGCAGACTGGACGTGGATGCTGTTGGCTTCTCCTTGAGAAGCCTGTTCCTCTTGGACCAAGCCACATCTGTAACGTGTTGTTGGAAGTTTTGTGACCTGATTCTCTGGTGTTCTGGAGTTCCTCATAACCTAAATGACTTGGAGATGGCTTGGATAAGGGCAGAGTCCTTTAAAAGGGTTGCACAGGGGGGAGGTGGCTTGTTTTGGAGGAATAATGTATGGGTGACCCAGATTTCAGAACTGTGCCTGAATTGTGTGAGCAGGAGGTATCTGTAAATCAGAGTTGAAGTTGTACCATATCTGAATTCTTCTTAATTCTTTGTTAATGTTGGGAGCAGCTCCTGTCCTGCCTGTACAGCAGCCCAGCGGTCTGGGTAGATCTCAGTGGGGTTATGTGGTCTAGGCCCTAGTGACAGCAGGGCCTGAGGTCAGTGTTCCTGCTGTCTGAAATAGTGGGACACAAATACTTCCTCTGGGAACCTCTTGTGCATCCTGATAGATTTTGCCAGTAAGAGTCTGTTCCCCCGGCCTATTTTTTTTTTATTTCATCTTGCTGACTTTAGAGGGATGTTCTTACTCTTGTTCTGTTGAGTCTTATCCTTTCTTACGGTTCACTTGTTTCAAGTGCTGTCTAGCAGGAAAGAGCCAAATTATGTTATAGTTTTTGATTTTTTTTTCTAATTTTTTTCTTCTTTTTAATGTAATCTACTTTGGAGTCTGGTTTAAAGTGGGCTGTTTTATTTAATTAGTTTGTATTCATGTAAATTATGTTCAGTCTCAGTGGTTATTCCAGGCAAAATTGAAGAAACAGCCCGCAAGGGATTTCAAATTCGTAATTGGAATCACATTTTGTTCCAAGGATGTTTGATTCTAAGAGTTACTGTGCTTTCTGTCATCTGGTATCTTTCCAGCTTGATGTTGTTTACTTAGTTACTGTTTAGCTAAATTATCCATAGCTAGTTTATTTCAGTAGTCATGCCTGGGAAGTTTTGCAATTCCTTTGCAGCTCCTCACTGAACTCCAGCCGAATCTTTTAATGAAGTACTTAGCAGTGACTTCAGTGCAAATGTAGCTGTGCTCTACTGTTTTGGCACTTGGGCTGTACAGAGAGGAATGATTTCTCTCCTTCATGAGGTGATCACACAGTTGACGTTTGTATCATCAGCCGTTTGGGGGCAGATGCCTTAACCTGACCCCTGGCAGGTATTTACATTCCCAGCTGGTTATCATTGCATCGAATCCAGAATTCTACTAGAAAAGTAGCCAGTCTTGATTTCAAGATATCAAGCGAGAGACTGCACTAGTTCCCCAGGTAAATTATTCCAATGGCTCATTGCCCTCACTAATTTCTTATCTCAATCTGTTCCGGCCACAAAGTCTTGCTACAAGTTTTCGTGTCAGATTACAGAGCCTTCTGCTGCCAGGATGACACGTTCCAGCAGAAAGATGGCCTGTTAGCTGTGTTCAGCTCTTCCTTTTGGGAAGAGGCAGTCATGGAGGTGGAGCCTGGGTGATCAGTGGCTGAGTGTGTGGACAGGACTTCAGAGAAATGTGATTGAATAACTCATATTGCTTGGAGTTTGCCTTCACGTGATGAGTAATCCAGCATGACAACAGGCTTCTGCTGAAGGAATGATCTAGTTCTCACTCAGTCCTGATTGCAAACTCCTGCTGCTTCTCTTGGACCGGATCTAGTGACCAAGAGGCCTCAAATCAGTCCCCAGCCCCACGGGGCAGCTGCCCCTCCATCCGTGCGCCCGGGCCCGGGCTCCGTGGGGATCCTGCTCCAACTGAAAATTAACCCCCTTCCAAAATAAAAAATATGACTTTTGGATCTGGAAGTGGGATCAGGTTGTCTTGTGGCCAGACAGTATTAGGATTGCTGTGAAAGTGTAGCATGAGAAACATGGAGAGGGACCACCTCTTTCAACAGCAACCCCCCTGCCTGTGCTGGATTAGATGCCAGAGGGAAACACACGTTTAGTTCCTACATTTTTGTGCTGAGATAAACAGGCTGTGGTTGCACAAATCCTCTCATCTGGCATTGCTGTTGAAAGAAGCTGTCATGACTACCTGCTGTCATCCATGCTGGTTCCCTGCTCCAGTTTGTTGTGAGACCACGCATACACCTGTACCACCAGGAGAGACGGGGCAGTGTGGGGGTGGGAATGAGAAGGGCAAAGGATGGAACTCTTTTTAGCACTGAAGAGTGTGTGAAACTAAGGCTTGAGATACAGGAGTCGTCACAAGCACACCTTACCTTAAATCTTGATAGAAGCTAATGTGTTTTTTCACCTGCCCTTTGCAGCAGATGTATGAGAGTAGCTGCCCTGATTTACTCAGTAATGAAGGTTAACTCTGTTGCGTGACTTGGGAGAACTGGGTTTAACCAGTACTGGATTTAGGTCAGCTGCATTTATGTCTTTGGTCAAGAAGCATGTGTTGCAGTTTGACTTTGTGTGTGGGAAAGAGCATCTAACGTAGGAAAAAGAAGGTCTGTGCCTTGTCTGTGACGCACTGGTACCTATGACCAGTGCAGAAAAGCATTCATGCATTCTAGATATGAGGTGGTGTTCAGTGCTGAGCAAGGTGGGGTGCCCTTTTGGGAAAGCTTCATTAATCTTGTCTCTTCCATTAACAAGTGACTCCAACTTTCTTGCTCTCACAGTGGGATTAGTTTGCTGAGACAAAATCCATTCCCCATCTCTTCTTTTGAACACCATTCCTTCAAGTGCCATGCAGAGCACTGCAGGGGATGAGGAACTGAGCCTGTGGTGGAGGCTTGTTTTGAGCTCATGGTTTGGGGCTTGGATTAAAAGTGAGTTGAAGTCAAAGCAGAAATTCCCATGACTTTAGTACAAGTTCGGGGCCAGGTCAAGGGGAGGACTATTGGTTTTGATAGTGGGAAAAGTTTAGAAGGGGGAAGGAAGGTGATTACCATGACATGTGTACAAATATACGTAGATAAACAGACATACATATGTAAATATATACAAAATAGAGGGTGTTCTGATGCTAGGAGAGTTTGAGGAGGAGTGACTGTAGAAACTGTAATTGGATAGTACACAAGGAGTGAACTGAGATGGGAGGAACATATGAACCTGCTGCTCAGAAAATACTGCATTAAGGCAGAGTTGGCCATAAATTTGCTTCCTGAAAACATACTCTATTTGCATCGTCACACAGAAGCGTGTGATATTTAAACATCAAACCACCTCTCTGTAACCTCAAATTGAACATCCAGCTGCAGGCAGAGGCCTCAGTGTGTGAGGTCCACTGCCCATGGCCTCGCTGGTGCTCAGAGTACATTCAGTTCCTGCCACTGATCGTACACAAAAATTCCCAAATCTTTACCTGGATCAGGCTGAGGTGGTGCTCAGTGGGATCCACAAGCTTGGTGGCCCCCTGCATGTGCCACCCCTGGGCAGAGCAGAGTTGGACACTGGTGAGCAGACGCAGCCTTGCACAAGGTGTGGCTGGAGGAGAGGTGAGGAACGGCTCCCGCTTCGATAAATCCAGCAGTAGAGTTTGTAAATCCAAATACAACCCTCTGGAGGGGAGGGGATTAAGATATTGGTCATATTAGGACACGATGTGTTCAGATTGTAGGAGCCCAGGGATAATCAGGGGACACTTGGGATACAAGCAGACCTGTAACCAGTTGGATATGGTCCTTGTTCACAGCTGCCACGGCGTGGCTGCCATGGCTACACTTTCGTAGTCAATAATAGAAACAGATGCCCAGAGCAGTGTTAAACTAACACATATGCCACTAGTGGGGAGGAGAAGAAGATGCTTTGCTCGCAGTCTTGCTGGGCAGCTACAAAAAGTAAGGATGTGTAAGTTGTATGGTATGTGTGCCTTACATTCACCAAAAATTTGTGAGTGGAATGATCAAAAGTGCCTACAAATACACTTTGAATAGACTAAATCTTAACTGGGCCCTTATATCTTCACTGCAGATTGCTGTCCTGTGAGGAGGAAGTGGTGGAGACTTGGTAAAGTACATGGGTAAGACTTGCTAGTATAGCCCATTTTACAGAAGGAAGGGTGCCGCAGCCGTACCCGTGTC